ATATAAGCTCATCCCGATGTTACACTCATTGAGACCTTTCATTTGAGTACCCACATTAATTTTTCATATATTTGATATATTTATATATATGAATATATGAAAAATATATGAAAATGCATGTGGGTACTCAAATGAAAGCTCTTAATAAGTGTAACACCGGAATGAGCTTATATCTTTAAAAAAATAAATAGTTAAAAAAGTACAGTGCAATTTAACAAATTTCATAATTTAATAAAACAAAATTTTATTTATTTATAGTACATAAGTTACATAGTGACTGCAAGCTTACTAGTACTTGATAATTTTTTTAATTAATTTTTACATGTCAATTATTTTTTCTTATTTCTTTTTGCCGTAATTTATTTGTTAAAAAATTATTTAGACTATCAAATATCTGGTCAATTGATTAATTTACTAATTAATATTTAAAATATTATTTTAAATTTCATTAAATTAGAAAAAAAAATAAAAAATTGTTAACTTAACGGGACAAATTATGACATTTGAAACAATTAAATCATTAAATTTATTTATAAAAGTTTTTTAGATAATTTGTTTTTAGATTATTTACTTTTTTAGATCATAATTAAAAAGCGCGCAAGTGTGGAACAAGTTCCAGCAACTTAAATTGATAAAATAACATTGTCGTAAAAGGAATTGTAGAATAAAACTTGTTGAGTAGTTGATGTAGATGGAGATGAAATAGCTGACAGTAGTTGTCCCAGTTAAAGAAACCTGCCGTATCGCGGCTCGCTAATTCGATAATACGATATGTACCGTTTGATAATATTAACATGTTGTTAATTTTATAATTTTATTGGGTTTTTATATTTTGTTTGTTTTTTCTGAATGTACATATATGTAAATACAGATAAAAATATAAATATTGTACAAAGAGGTGATTGTTTGGATTCGATAACATTGCGCGATGGAGCGAGGATATCAAACAATGGGCGGGCCGAGTTCATCCAGTTCATTAGTATGTACTTTCACATTGTTGTTATTGTTTTTATTGTTAGTTTACATTCATTCATTATACGATTGTCGATATTTGTTTGTCAAACTTAATTTATTTCCTGTAGCAAATAAAAAACGGAGTGAACACATTGATGCGTATCGTTTACCTGTCAATCATTTTTTATTATTTTATTAAGTTGGCAACTTGAGAGATTTTAAAAAATGCGCGCGCAATTTGAATGTCTAATTAAATTAAAATAATTTATAGCAAGCAATTTAATAATAATGAAATTTATTATTATTACTATTTATCAAAAAATTAATAATGATAATAATAATTTTTAAGACAAAATAATAATAATAATAACTAGCAAACTTGCAGTCACTACGTGACTGCTGTAACTTGTAAATTATAAATAAATAAAATTTAGCTTAATTAAACAATTACTTTTTTTAAATTGCAATGTACTTTCTTAAATATTGAAGTTTTTTAAGATATAAGCTCATCCCGATGTTGTACTCATCAAGAGCTTTCATTTAAGTACCCACATGCATTTTCATATATTTTTTATATATACATATATATAATATATATAAATATATGAAAAATTGATGTGGGTACTCAAATGAAAGCTCTTCATGAGTGTAACATCGGGATAAGCTTGTCTTTAAAAATTTCAATAGTTCACAAGATACAAAATCGTTTCTTAATTATATTAAATTACACTGTCCTTTCTTAACTATTGACATTTTTAAAGATATAAGCTCATCCTGATGTTACACTCATGAAGAGCTTTCATTTGAGTACCCTCATGCATTTTTGATATATTTTTCATATATACATATATAAATATATGAAATATATGAAA